AAGAAGCAGCACTGCAGTATGCTCACTGTGTGGTTGGTGTGGTCAGCACCAGGTCATGTTTAGAGGATGAATGAAAGAAGCAGCACTGCAGTATGCTCACTGTGTGCTTGGTGTGGTAAACACCAGGTCATGTTTAGATGGCAGCGGGTGCACTGGGGAGGCAAAGAGCACGGCAGACTCACATCAATGTAGTTGGCACCGACACCACCTGTCTCTCCCAGCAGTGAGTGGAGCTTGACACGATGATGGTCATCTGCAGCAGACCAGCAGGTTGGTACATATTCTCCATGGTCATTCCAAATGAGCACTTTTTCCAGTGTTATTAGTCCAGTTCTTGAAAAATTAGTTATGTACCCATATATAATAAAAAAATTATGTTACATTTATTGGGGCGGGGTGCAGTGGTTAGCGCTGCTGCCTCACAACGAGAAGGTACTGGGTTCGGTCCCAGGTCCTTTCTCTTTGGAGTTTGCACGCTCTCCCTGTGTTCGCGCGGGTTTTCGGCCGGGGCTCCGGTTTCCTTCCATGGTCCAAGAGCGTGCAGGATAGGTTGATTGGTGTGTCTACATTGGCCCTGTATAGTTGTGTGCACCCTGCCGTGTGTTGGCGGCTGCCCAGGGTTGGTTCCCAGGATAGGCTCCGGTTGAACCCAGTTGAGATTGAGTGGTTTCAGAAAATGGATGGATGTTTCATTTATTGATTTTTCAGAACTGGATACATATTATTTGAAAAATTAAACCAAGAGCTCTATGTGTGATGTACAATCTATATGGACTGGAACCAACAGTGAACCAACAGGATGACTTACAGCCCAGGAGACTGTCGTGACAAGCTGTGGTCTTGCCCTTTTTGCTGTGGCCATCCCAGCTGCTGAAGAAACTCTGCAAAGGACAAGTCCCCGTCAAGCTGCCTGTTGAAATCCTTTTGTGGCAGCCATGTGAGGGACCCACTTCAGAAATGCTGCCTTGTATGGTACATAAACGAAAACTAGGGATTGGCTATGAGGATGTGTGTAATAGCCTGTGACCTCCACAGAGGCTGGGCCTCCCTGCCTCTATAATGCCTCCCTGCCTCTGTAATGCCTCCCTGCCCTGCTGGGCCTCCTCACCTCATACTCCTGCTTGAAGCCATAGCCCTCAGCTGTCTTCATCTGGCTGATGTGCTGCAGGAGGTCAGCCACGCGCACAGCAGGACGCAGCTGTCCCTTGGGGTACAGGGATCCCATATGTGCTCCCAGTTGCTGTGGAGACCGCCCCAGCAAGCTGCTGGACTCGTTCATCGAGTGGCGATGCTCCTCTGTTTACAAAACAATCAGAAAGTCAGACAGACAATCATGTATCTTTAAACCTTATGAGATCAGAATGTAGGCAGGGCAAGAGTCTGTCACATAAGAGCAGCATGAGGCTTCTGCGTAGGGCTTTAGAATGTGGCTGCAGCCTGGGGGTTCAGTGTGTCGCTGCAATGTAGGTCTTCAGAGAGTGGCTACAGCCTGGGACTGCAATGTAGAGCTTCAAAGTGTGGCTGCAACCTGGGACTTCAGCATGTGGCTACAGCATTTGGCTTGAGCAGCGTGCTTAGTGATGGTATGTAGCTTCTGTGGAAGCTGTTGCTTACTGCGAGCTGCACAGCTGTGTCCATGCAAGAAGGCCTCCTGCAGCCTGCCATTTTCCAGCGCACTCTGCTCCATGCCTGGGGCATTCTTCTCCTGGGAGCTCTGCCGTGCCTTGTCTTGTGGTTTCTCCAATCGTTTGCACATAGGGACCTTGTGGACAGCTGCCTCTACCCTGCTGTAGTGGAGCAGGTAAGGACGAATGCAAAAAAAGAGACTTTTTCATGCTGCTTCTTCAAATTCAGGCTCACAGCTGTCTGCCTCAACTGGAAGGAGAACTGAGGTACGTCCCTTTGGGTTTGGGGGTGAAGCCCCTATTCAGAGAGGTCACGTGACCCTGAACTACAGGAAATCCTACCTGATCCACTGTCACCCCTGGAGCCCAGCCTTGCTCTCTGAGTGTAACTCCATGAGTAATTAAATTACATGTTTAATTAATGAAGTTAATCTCAGAGTCGGCAATATCTTTCGAATGCAGCCGCAGAAAAGGTCACTGGCTTCTCCACTGAATGACTAAAAGCTCTCTTTTGTGCAGTGCAGGCAGCAGGCTGGGGGCAGGGAGGCAGCCTGGGCAGAGGTACCAGCTCCTACATCCCCCTCCCCACTCATCCAGCAGCCCAGACTGGCTTACCGCTTCTTGATTAGGATGACAACGAGCCCCAGCAGAGAGGTGAGGAGCAGCAGCCCTCCAGCACAGGAAGCAACGATGAGTCCCATCTCTTCAGCGTGCTGAGACACCTCCAGGGCCTGCCTGTGATCCTTACAGGCTGCTGGGCACAGAAAGAGAGGGAGAGCACGTCAACATGGACATACAGTCACTGAGAGAGAGACAGAGAGCACATGAACATGGAAATACAGACATCAAGAAAGCAGTAGGCTTGGATACGCATACACACAGACACACAGGGGCCTGAACACAGAGCGACCCTGGTGCAGAGCCCTAGTTCAGAGAGCTGGAGGCATGGCAGTGTCCACGCCTGGAGACAGAGGCAGGCTCAGCCCCATTCAGAACCGAGGCAGCTGCCAGACATCAGAGGCAGCAACTGCTGCCGTTCAGCATTTGTGCGTCAGAACAGCCACTTAGTCCAAGCAGCCGGGACAGCTTGGCAGAACCAAAACCATAATCCCTCGGCATCGATGCAAGTCCACTGTTTAACAGCTTTCATTTGTCACACACACATTAGTCCAGTTTCTAACCCTTCTGTCAAGCCTTAAAGTAAAGCATGAAATTTCTTCTCAGGTTAAGTTGTGCTACTTCCAGCATCCCTTAAGCTCTGTTTAGGAGACAGGACAGAAAGAACGATATTATTATGTTCTGAATGGGCATCAATGAAGTATCCCTCCCACCCACAGTCCTGCGGCATGCACACAAGAATCTCTGTGGATGAAGGTGAAGCAGGCTCCTTGCGATACTTCCTGGTTCACATGAGTATCTCCATGGATGATTGTGAAGCAGGCTCCTTGCGATACTTCCTGAGCCTGCTGTTACATGTATCTCCATGGATGATAGTGAAGCAGACTCCATGCTATATTTCTTGAGCGTGCCGACATAAGTATCTCCATGGATGCCAGTGAAGCAGGCTCCTTCCAATACGTCCTAAGTGTGCTAACACGAGTATCTCTGTGAATCACGGTGAAGCAGGCTCCATGTGATACTTCCTGAGTGTGCTAACACGAGTATCTCTGTGGATCATAGTGAAGCAGGACTTCATTATATTTCCTGAGTGTGGGTACCCAGAACAGACTCCTCTCCATTCTCGCTGTAACTTAAAGCCGTAATGAGGGAGCAACAACTTAAGGGACAGGAGTGTTACACAAATCTAAAAAACCCAGCACACTCATTCTGGGACATTCAAAGTCAAAGTCAGTAACTGCACCAATACACCCAGGCCATACAGGACAGCCCCTCATCCATTATGGACTGTGACTTATCTGGGATAGCTGATGAGACATTGACAGTCTCGGAACATAACTAGCTATGTAAGTGGAATGCGTTCTTCCAGAATAACCACAGTTCTACGAGCAGCTTGTTGTAGGTTTGAGTTTCTGCTCCCACTTCCAAATTCCACCCTCTCTACTTCATTAATCTTCCCTTTGAACCAAAAAGCTGTCCACACTGAGAATCCCCCAGAGCACTGGAAACTCCCAGGTATACCCCCTCCCCCCCACCCCACCCCCAGCTCCTGGTGATTTAAGTCTCAGTCCAGCTTTGATATATACTTGATGAAGCAAGAAATCTCTCTAGATTTGATGAGTGAAATCAAAGGGGCATCCAATTACCTTTCCTTGCGATACGAATACAGTTGATCCGCATCTCCTGAAAGAAAACAAGCATGTTAGTGAGAACCTTTTGGCAATATTGCTAATCAGCACTTATGTCCATTTATGGTATCAATAGGCCTCATTCACCATGCAACCTGTGAGCCCAGCTTACAATCTCTGTCATGAAGTGGCATCGCTGGACCTCAGATATTACCCATAAAGAGGCAAGAAACTCAATGTTTCGTCTAACTTGGCTCTACAGATTTTCATTCAATTGATTAATTATGATATAGTGACTTCAAAAGAAATGATGACGCTAGAGTTTCGTTTCCTCCAAAGCTTGTACGGGGGAAAGAGTGGCTCCATAATCTTTCATTCATCCAACCAGCACAATACTGAGAGCACACAGACACAGACATACATGCAGACACACACAAACACACACACAGACACAGACACACATGCAGACAAACACAAACACACACACAGACACAAAGACACACACACATACACAGACACGCAGACACACACAGACACAAAGACACACACACATACACAGACACGCAGACACACACAGACACACACGCGCCCAAACACATGCATACACACAGACACGCACACACACATACAGAACGTTTTAAATACATTTGCGAAAGCACTTCTTCTTTACACACTGAAACGCACACACACACAGACACACACGCGCGCACGCGTACACACATACACGCAGACACACACATGCATTTTCAGAAACAATTAGCACTAGTCAAAAACACTACACAGAACAGAGTGTTAATGAGATGCATAAATAACGAATATATAACTGGCAAAACACATAGAACACGTTATTGAGGAGACTGCAGGGCTGCTGTGTGTGTGTAGGTGTATGTGTGTGTGGGGGCGAAACATCTTGGGACCACAGAAATCCAGATGCTTCTTTCTGTAAGAACATCCTTGTTTGTTTGCCAACAACGCCCCCCACTACAGTCATGTATCAAACAGGTAGCTCCCCATGTTATTTTCTTAGCGGAAGAGGTCGGAGATCCCTCATCTACAGAATTTCTGGATGTTTGCCGTCTCATTAGCTCCTAGCTCTAAAACAGGGACTCTGCATCAAGATTTCAAAAGCTACCATTTCTTTACGCTGGTGTAATGCAGCAGAAACAGAGCAGGAGCTGCAGCTTACCCCTTTAAAATGACTGATAGCCTGGAAGTAGATGGCGTAACTCTTCCTGGGATCGAGTGGAGTGTTCCAGCAGCCATTGTAGGTGCGGTTGTCACCGACGGTGAAGGGCGTAGCCTCAGGCAGGCTGCTGGGAGGCAGCTCTGCACTGCAGTAGGCTCCGCCCCCCAAAGTCAGGGTGGGCGTGGGAAAGCACTCCTGCTTACTCAGCTCTCTCTTCACCTGCCTGGAGCTCTCTTCATCTTCCTCATCCCCCTGCTCCTCTTCCTGCTCAACCACAACCTGGTAGGTGCTAGAGAAAAGCAGTGAGAAATCAGTGAGTACAGCAGCCGTGTAACTGTGGAGTAACGTTTCAGCCAGGGCTGCAGCTAGCAGATACCGCCACAAGTTACAGGCTCTGTGTGTCCAGGTACTCGCTGTGTGACTGCGGTCACCTGCAGGGGGCGTGTGGCAGCAAGGTGACCAGCATTTAAACGAATACACAAGGCAAGCAGCAGGAGCCCCAGCGCTACCTGTATTATTAAGAGGAGTGCAGGTGTGTTAGGGTGTGTGCAGGCAGAGCAGCCGCCTACCTGATGGGGGCTCCCCTGGCCTGGGCCGGCCGCAGGAGCACAGTGACGGTGCTCTCCGTCTCAGCCAGCAAGGCCGGTGCATCCTCGTAGTCAAAGGCCGGGGCTGAGGGGTCGCAAGCCGGGGCAGAGAGACATCAGAGAGCACCTCCTGCACCCAAAGCCTGGAACATCCCATTATGGAAAAGGAACACTCTGCTGCCATGGTTACAGTGGTGCAGAACACTGGCCAGTTAGAGATGACCGAGGAGGGGCAAACACTCAGCAGGACTGGCAGTCCTGGAGATGGCAACGGAGGAAGGGAGGGCAGCTGGACAATCAGCCAATCGGTGCCTTATTACAATTTGTATCCTGCATATCTAATGCAATGCTTCCTCTCATCATTTCAGCAGCTCAACATAACATATGGCTGGAGCAAACCGGGCTGCAGCAGCTCTCTCTGCCAGCCACACTCACTCCCCAGCAAAGGCTGCTGTCCCCAAAGCCAAAGACATTAGAGCTGTACACCATTTAGCGACTTGTGGCATGATTTTCAATTCCGGTCCTGAGGCAACTTTGCATATTATGCTTTTTGCTGGAACCAAGTGCCTAATTAATTACAGATGATTGAGCTGTTAATTAAATTCAGACTGTAAGCTGACATTTCTAAATTTGTTATGAGAATTTTTTATAATTAATGAGTTGTAACCCGTGTCGGAGATGTGAATATATTTAAATACAGTTTTTCTTCATATATTTATGTTTCCTATAATAAAATTTTTGTCATCTGCGTGACATCTGGATCTGGGCAATAATATGAAGTTCTGAGTGAAGACCAGTTTAAATAAAGGTCCGGGAAACCTTGACTTATAAGATAAAAGAGGAGCAATCAGTATTTAAATGAACCAGACTGTCCCGTGTGACATGGAACTGCACAGCCCTGTAGTCTGTCTTCCACTTGTCATGGGACCAAAGCAGCATCAGACTGCTCTGTGAAAGCAGCACAGACGGGAGCAGAGTTTCAGCAGTGGTGCACGAGAATCCCAGAGCACTGAAAACCCAAGACAGCAACAATAGAGTAGAAGACGAATTTGCATCCAGCATAATTGCCAGTACTGCATGTGTCTCAGTAAGACAGTGTGACTTTCTGTTTAAAACATAAGGCATTTGTTTTAAGTTTGTCTCCGGGGGTGTTCCTGAGTACTAGGGGTAAAATTCTACTGAATGCTATTCTTGGAGAAGGAATCCTTTAAAAGCATGTTATTCTTTGAAACATTTTGACACATGCAGGAGCACACATTCATACACGCACATAGACATGGCACTCAGATACAGATATATACAAACATATATGACATCTACACACCAACTCAAGCACACCTACTAGTGGTTCTTGCCCGCAGTTAGAGAACAAGACAGGGCAATGTGGAAAAATGTTAAGCATATTTCTGCATTTGCCCAATCTATCTGATTTAACATAAATTTCAGATGCATCAAATTCATGTAAAACTTATTCCCAAAATATACATGATGCACTTTGTTCAAAGCTCACTCAACACTGCAGCACTTCAAATCCTTGCGCTCACAGATTGTATGCCAAGATTTCAAGCGTCAATCTTACATCATGACAAAGGAAAAACAAAACTCTCGAATCTCTGTTTAATTCCACCAGCACACACACACAAAAAGCATATGACACAAGAGGAGCTATTCACAGCCCATGAAAAGCCACCTGACAGCTACACAAATGATTTCACTATCACACTTAAATAGACAAAAAAAAAAACAAAGCAGCTCATGGGAATGTTCCTATGATTTTAAGGAATATTCCCTAAAAGGTGAGATTTGGAATGAGACAAGTCCCCTTGTGTCCCTTGAATTTTCTGGAACTTTGCCATATTTTTCTAGTCCAGTTCCTATGTAACAGCCTAACTAGCAGATGATTTCTGAGATTCAGGTCGAAGGCTTCTGAGAAGTACACAACACTGAAAGTATATCAAATTCGGAAGAATGTTTATATATATCAGATAATCTGGGAAAATATTTTATCGGCTCACACTTAATGTGAAACTCACTTAATCCACTATAGTGGATCGAACTCAAAAATTCAAACTATAAACAAAATGCGAAACCCAAGCCAAGTCAAGCTAAGCAAATCCAAAACCAGACACAGCCCAAAGCCAAACGCTAAACCAAGCAATTCCAGAAGCAGACACAGCCCAAAGCCAAACACTAAGTCAAGCAAATTCAAAACCAAACACACCCCAAAGCCAAACGCTAAGCCGAGCAATTCCAAAACCAAACACAGCCCAAAGCCAAACGCTAAGCCAAGCTAATCCAAAATGAAACAAACACAACCCAAAGCCAAAAGCTAAACCAGACTGAGACAAGCCCACCCATATGAACAGGCAGAGGAGAGCTTAGGCAGAGCCCCTCACCTGAGATGTTGGTGGTGATTTCGGTGAGTGCTGTGAGTCCGAAACCCTTGGCAGTTTGAGCACGTACAGAAACCAAGTATGTGGTCCCAGGCTGCAGGCTGGAGAACACGTGGTAGGTCTCGTTGCGGAGTTTGGACACGACGCGCCGAGGGCCTGGCACGTTGATACCTGGATCCGACGATTCAATGCTCTGGTAGCTGATCTGCCAAAGGAAAGCAGACTGTCATGGCTGCAGAACACATCAGCTCAGGGGAGTAGGCCTCACAAGCGTGCATGTCCTGCTGAAAGTAGGACCCCTGCCAAGCTGGTATGAGCTGGCTTTGACTACAGGCCTCTGCTCCTCCACAGTGCTACCTGAACATTTCTCTCATGGCCTCCACCCTCGCCAGGCTTCACTCTCCTACTGTCCCTCACTCTTCCCCTCCCTTCCAGCCCCCTGCCCATTTCCTGAAGACCTCCAGCATCTTCTATTTTTTTTCAGTTCCCAAAGCAGTACAATAGGGAAAGCTCAGCTCTTCATCGACTACATCAGTGCTCAATGGAGAAAGACAAGGGCACAATGCTTACTTCAGTCTACAGGCTGACAGCTCGGGGTTGGATGCCTGCTTCTTTAAATAGCACTGACTGATGACACTTGGAGGACCTACCTCATACTGAGTGATAAGACCATTGGGCTCCACAGGCTCCTCCCACTTGAGGAAGACCATGTCATCCAAAGGGGTGAATGTCAGTGACTCTGTGGCAATGACCCCAGGGACTGTGGGAGGAAAGGAGGATTGTGTGACCTCTGCTGTCAATCTCATTAACATTCAACACCACAGCAGAAGGTGAGCAGGACAGGCACTGAGATAAGGAGAGATCTGCATTTCAGGTCTGTAACAGACAAAAGCTTTTGTATGAAGTCATACTTCCTGCCGTCCACTTGCTTAGACGCAAAGCAGACAAGCCCTAAGCAACCCCTTGGGACTCAAGTTGTCCCAGTCAGAAGCAGCAGGGACCAATTACTCTGTTATTGTCTATTTACTGGGGGTTTATCATTACTGGAAAAGTGGGGATTGGCTGAGAATGAAGCAAATCTAAAGACCTCTCAACGCCCTACCGAGCGGTCTGTCAGAAACTGAGCACAAGGATGCTGGGCACTCAGTGAGGCACCTCACCCTCCCCCAACCAGCTCAATAAAAGTTATGGTACAAAGGATTGCTGTGGTTTCTAAAGAGCAATAGTCCCTTATCTTCCTCTTGCCCCTCTGCATGTCTTCCTCTCTCTGCCTCCCCCAGTCTCTTCTCCTTTTTCCCCTTCCATCTTATCTGCTCTCGATCGTTTTCATCAAAACATTGATCTATTATCACCTGTTTTTAATCTAGAAGCATCCACATCGAACTGCACTCAATGCAATGCCTGCAATAAAAATGATGCATACGAAAAGAGGCAAATTATCTCAAATGATTGACTGGTGGCAAACAGTTATAAAGCCCCCAGCAGTAAGACTGTCTGCTGGGTTACATTCTGAGTCACGTCCTGCTGGGAGGAACCACTAAAGTGACCTAGTGTTAACAGATGGTTATTTTGCATTAGATTTCATTTAGTGTTGTTCCATCCTTCATTTACAGTGGATATAAAAAGTTTACACACCCTTAATAAAATTGCACATTTTTCTGATTCATAAATGATGTCAGACATTTTCCATCATTATTGTGACTTTGCAGCCAACAAAATTTAAGAGAAAAACAGATGAAGAATAGGGCAAAAACTGAAATAAAAACACCCCAATTGCAAAAATATGAACAGCCCCCACTTAGTACAACATGGAAGCACATTGGAACGTACAGTATTGCAGCATTGTCTGGGAACAATAAGCATCGTCAGCTTTGCACATGTGGACTTCACATTTTGCCCACTCTGTTTATGCTCCCTCATATTGCCAGGGGACCTGCTGGGCATGGCCTTCATTAGATCATTCCTCAGGTTTTCAGTAGGACCAAGGTCAGACTGGGCCATTTTAGGACTTTGATCTTCCTTTTCTGAAACCTTTCCTTAGTTGACTTGAACATATGCTTTAGGTCATTATCATGTTGGATGGTGAAATTCCTCCTCACCAGCTTCCAAAGGCCAGCAGGATTTTTGATCCATAATATCTTGAGATTATCTTTATCCCACCTATCATTACTAAAGTCTGTATCCCAGACAAAGAGAAGCAGCCCCAAAGCCTGACGTTGCCCCCATGATGCTTCGTGGAAACTATGGTATTCTTCAGACGATAAGCTGTCTTGTCTTCGTGCGAAACACAACTCTTAGAATTAAGGCCAAAAATGTCAACCTTTTTCTCATGAGATCATAACACAAACCCACAAGGGATGGAGTGATTCAATGTACCTTTTGAAAATGTAGGCAGGCTTGAGTGTTGTTTTGTGAGATATGGCTTTTGTCTTGCCACCACACACCACATGTGCAAAGCCTAGACATGTGCAAAGGAATGACAACTACCTGCCATAAATTCCTGCAGCCCCTTTCATGCTGCTGTGGCCATCTAGTTGCTTCCCTGGTAAGTTTCTCCTTGTCCTTTCTTTCAGCAGCTGTGGAGGTTTGATCTGATCTTGCTAATGTCTCTGTGGGGCCACATTTTCTCCACTCAATAATAGTCTTCAGCTTTCCATGGGACCTCTCAAGGCTCTGACATTCCTTTACAGCCCTCTCCTGATCGATACCTCTAAAAGATAAGATTCTGTAGGTGTATTGTCAGTTCAAGTGTTACAGCAGAGGTGGCCAATCTTATCCAGAAAGGGCCGCTGTGTATGTGGCTTTTCACTGCAGCTCCCTAACTGATTACTAATTAGAGGACTGATTAGCTGAGTCCTTCTCACACCTGGGTTTGAACAGCTGACCTAATAGTTATCCCTAAAACCTGCATACATACTTTGAGTAGAAGATTGGCCACCCATGTGTTAAAGGGGTTGATTTATACCTAGGAATCAATTTAAAAAAATTAACTAATTAACCACACAGTTTCCTAAGATAATTATGTATGATTAATCGTGAATATAAAAACTTAGAATCATGAACATTTATAGATTGAATCCCAAAATTTGAGTAGAATTAACACAAAGGGGATTACATGGGTAATTGTTTATTATTATTATTATTATTATTATTATTACACATTACAGTTCTCTAATTTTTAAAATTAGTTTAAAGTCAACTCATACAACTTCTCTGTCTAAACTGCCAATTTTACCTCTAGGGTAGTTAATCAGTTTTGTTTTGTTACCATGTATTTTTGTAATAAATAAAAGTATTACATCAAATCTAGGGCAAGAATTACAGAGATTATGAAAAAAAAAACAACAAAACAAAAAACTGAGCAAAAAAATATACATCTTATAAAAATTGATTGTTTATTGTGAGCTACATGAAATAATGTTGAAAGCTTTATAAACATACAGTGGTACCTCAGTACTCAAACTCATTCGACCTCGAATTTCTTAAAAGTCGAACCAGCCAGTTTGAAAAAAAATGACCTAGAACTCGATCTGAATCTCAGAAGTCGAACCTTGAATGCCAACCTAAGATAATTTGTACGCACGGGGAAATTAGTCACGCGGCACGTCTCTCAGCGGAAACAAAGGGTTCCAAGCAGGTTTTCTCTGATAGGTAAGTTTATTCTCAGTCTTCGTCCAATGAGCAGTTGTGCTGGGGTAAATCCACACTCTCTGCAGGCTGTGTGGTTTCAGTGGTTCTGCTGCATTATTTGGTTGGTAAGATTGACATATTGCACAGTCACCTCAGTTGTAACATCATGGTTAATCCTGCACCAGTACATTATGACATAGGCTCTCTTCCTGCATTTCTCAATTCCAAGATGTCCTTCATGAACTTTCTTCATGAAGCATTTCTCTGTGTCTTTGGTATGACAATTTTATTTCCTTTGTAGGTAATGTTGTCAACTACTGTCAATTCAGCTCTGCTGTTCCAGTATTCTATGACATCTGCTGTGCAGTGCTTTTCTGATTTGGCCACCCTTCCAATATTATTTGTTTCAGTCTGTTCAACGCTGTGTCCTTTGCAGTCTCAGCTAGTATATAGTTCATATTTGAATTTGAAACTAGTAATGATTCAGTGACCAGATTTGTGTAGACTTCAACATCTTGCTCTGTTCTTGAACCGCCTTGCTCTTTTGAATCAGCTGCCCGAGAAAGTGCGTGTGCAGTGTACATCATTTTCCCCTTGATATATGTGACATCCAGGGAATAACGCTGCATTTTATCATTTGTTGTATCGGAAATGGACAATCACTGAGTGGCTTCTCAAATAATGCAATCAAAGGTTTGTGGTCTGTCTGTACTCCAGCTAGCAGATCTGCTACAAACTATAAATATTTCACATGCATATAGGATACTGCACAATTCTTTTTAATTTGTGAATAGCATATTTCAGAGTCTGTCGTGGACCTAGACATGTACAGCATGCCCCTGGACGCCAGTTGCCATTGTACTTTTGCAAAAGAGCTGCACCAAGTCCACTCTAAGATGCATTTGATGAAATTTTTATTGGTCTTGCAAGATCATAGAATTTAAGATCTGGTTCCTTTATGAGCTGCTTTTCTTAACAGACTGCTAATTTGTGTTCATGATTCCATTCCCAATCAATTTTCTTTCCCGCCATTATTTCTGATACATTTGGTATAAACTTTCCCAAATAATTCATCATTCCAAGAAATCTCTGAATGTCTTTTATAGACTGTGTCCTCTGCATGTTCTCCATTACAGAAATCTTTCTGGGATCAGGATAAATACCCTTGCTGCTTACATTTGACCTACAAATGTCAACTCTGTCACCCATAGCTGGCCCTTTTCTTTATTTTATTTCAGATTCACTTTTTGGATTGCTTCCAAGACTTTTCTCAATCTGCAATCATGTTCTTCTTTAGAACTTCCCCAAATGATTTCATCATCCATTAGTGTGTCTACTCCCTCCAGGTGCTCATAGATCACATTTATCATTTCATGGTACACCCTCTGGAGCTGAAGCAAACCCAAATGGTAATCAGAGGAACATGTACACGCCAAAAGGAGTATTGAATGTGTATAATATAGAACTGGCTTCATCCACCTTCAACAGCCAAAATCCTGAAGATGCATCCATCTTGCTGAAATATTTGGCATTTCCAAATTGTGACATGATATGTTCTCTTGTTGGTAGTTAAAATTTTTCAAACTTTATTGGCAACTGTTATAGCTACAAAGGGGGGACCAACTCCACATTGATGCCTATGGATTTAGAATATGATGTCATTAAAGTTCCTGCAGGTGCAATGGCTAGGTGTCCCAATACTTTTGTCCATGTAGTGCAAATTCAGCAGCCAACTTCACAGGAGTTTTACTTTGCGTTGCACCAGCGCTGCTCGCAATCTCTACTAGGCATAAACAACTGTGACTGTAATGTGACAATGTGTCAAGACTTAAAAATTATGCAACCAGTGAGTTGTAGGTGAGGTCACGTTAGGTTGGGGAGCATGCACCGGTGCAGCGCATTGCTGCACCCACCACATGAAAGAACACCTCAGGATCCAGGTTGGCAAACCCCCCCCCAGGCCGACACGTGGTCCAGTCCCACCCTCCGGAAATGTCCCTCTATCTGCCACAGTCAGGTGTCACATGGCCATCCCCTTGGCCTGGTCCAGCCGCTTGGGTCCTCAGCAATGAGGATCCCGCGAGCCGGATCACCCTCAGGGAAATGCGCCACATGGCTGTAGTGCCATAACTGACGCTCCCTCACAATGCAGGTAATGTGCCTCATTCAGGACTCCCTGATCAACCCCTTGCTCGACAAAGTCAAACCAGCGGTACCCAAGGATTCTTTGAACAGACACAGTACCAAAGGAGTCCAGTCTTCATCTCAGGTCATTTGATAACGTCCATGTCTCACAGCCATACAGCGAAACAGGGAGCACCAGGATTCAAAAGACTTGGAAGCACCACACTCCCCTTTCCAGTGACCTCATGACCCCCCAAGCTCTCCTAATCCGTCTACTGACTTCATATGAAGAGTCACCAGAGACAAAAATGCCACTGATGAGGTAAGTGAGCCACTCAGCGCGGTCGAGATTCTCTCCGCGGACAGACACACTGCTGATGGCTGTGACCAAGAGGTCATTAAAGGCCTGGATCCTGGTTTTTATCCAGGATACTTGCAAGCCCAGACATTCTTCAGAGACTCCTCACTCAGTCTCTCGAGAGCCCCGATCATTGACTCTACGAAGATCACAGCATCGTTGGCAAAGTCAAGATCAGTGAGTTGTAGGTTTACAATATATTTTTACCTTTAATTTTGTAGGTTGCAAGGGCAGATTAAAGATGTCTGACATTGTTTATCTTGACCTCTGGCTTTGCATCACAAAACCTGCAATTCCGATAAGGGTGTGTAGACTTTTTATATGAACTGTATTGAAGAAATATGTACAACTTAGCTTTTCTGTTAAACTATGCATAACTAAAAGGTCAAAAATAGAACACATAACAAAAACATATATTTGCAGAGCTACACAGCAGCAATCTGCGGGGGGATCTACTGACAGCGACACGGATGCACGCCTCACCGTCCTCCTCCGTCTGAAAGGTGACCTCCCGTCCCTCCTTGCTGCCCTCAGGGTTGGTGAGTGCCAGGCGCACATGCACGGGCCGAAAGGGCGGCAAGTCACGCAGGGTGAGCCGCGAGGCATCCTGCTCCACGGTCAGGCACTCACGCACTGTGGCGTTCTGCACGCCACCGCCCCCCGCTGTGTAATAGTGGTAACACAGCGATACAGTGTAACTGTGGCATCTGGTTAGGTTGTATCCCAGGGGCTCCCACTGCAAGGTCAGCTGGCGGGACTGGATCTCGGTGGCCCGCAAGTCTCGGATAGCACGCATGGGCTCTGTGGGAAGACAGCGGGAGGGAAAAGGAAGGAGGGATGGGAGAAAGGGGGACAATGAGGGGGACAGAGAAGGAGATGAGGAACATTAGGGCACCAGATAAAGTAAGGGGCCGAAGAAATGTGCTGCTCCAAAGGTTTTTGGTTACAAAATGCCTTTTAGCCTTTTAGCGTGGTGCATTTTTCCTCGCATAAATCGCGTATAATGACATCACCACCTGGTAACAAAAACAGAAAACAATGGCGTGTTAAGCCTAGTTCATGCTACATTTTTCCACGTGTTATTACAGCCCACGCATGTGTCACGCCCGGTTCGTCCGATCCTCGTGTGTGCCACGCCCCCTCATTACCCACGTGTACTACCCTGATTGTTCACAGCTGTTTGATGTTGGTTTTGGCCTGTTTAGTGTATATCAGTCCACGTTTACCTCTGTTTCCCAGATCTGTCATTAACGTTCATCCTGTGCTGTTCTCCGTGCGCCCAAATAAACCCAATTTACCCGTATTTACGGCTCCGTTCGTCTGCTTCCCCGCTTCCTGCTTGTTTGCTTGCACATCGATGACACAATACATTTGTCCAGGGATGATCGTGGACCACAGATGTGCACAGCAGTGACATTTCACCAGACCAGCAGAGGGCAGGTGCATTGCAACAAACACAAATACAAGCAGTGCACTGATATTAGTAAAAGATCATGAAGCAAATTATGAAACTTACTAAGCTCGGGAGGTAATAGGTAACTAACAAAACTACTTATTTATAATAGGGTATACCATCTTGCTGACAAAATAAGCCCCCATCTCTGATTTTTTCAGCAAGATTTCAAAATGCTGGAATAGTGTTGCTATCGAAAAGACTGTCAAACCACCATATTCCGTGATATGAAGTACAACTGTTACCATGACGAAGACAGCAGATCTTTGCTTTTATGGCTCTTTGTCACTTTAAATAGATCCTCTACACTCTGTAAGTATGCTGTGACTAAAATACTTCTTGATATTTTTTAAATAAAGCAATTGCACTTTTCTTTAAACCCTGTGTCTTGGTGCAAATACAGTAATCAATTAGTTGATCACTTGATCACATAATTCATCCATTATGAAAACAATCATTTTTCACAGCCCTTGTTTTAAGAAACAGTCAAATGATCATCATATGTACCCAACACAGAGTAATAAACCCAAAAGAACAAAACGTTACAGTATTTGCCTAATTTATCAATGTTAATACACACTGTTCCTGCAAAATGTCAAGACTACATTTACTATCCAAGCCAAGGTGTTCAGAGAATACGTGCAGAGCAACTAAAAGAACTGAAAAGTTAAGAGATATCTCCTCCTTTTTAAGCCCTGCCACCCCCCCTCAATGGAGGAGACCTTTATTTTTAATTTCCACTGCAAATAAAACACATTACATGACGCCACTCTGCACACACCCACCTATGTTAACACCATAATAATACATAGACAGACAAAAAGACAGACAGATGGACAAGATGAAACAAGATCAAGACCAAAGAGAAGGATAGACCCTGATGAACACCATCTGCTATACGAGAAACACTAAACAAAGGTACACGGGATCATACAATCAAAATCACAACCCAAAAACAAGCAATTCTGTTACAAAGCCTCTCAACGGCAGATTGGGAGGCTCAAAAACTACAGTCAGGATTAAAAAGTCAGAATAAAAAGCACTTCTTTCTGATTATACCACCTGAGATAAAGTGCTATAAAATGGCAGAGGCCTTAACGGCTAGCTTGCCCACATGCCTACGAGGACACAGGACTGGTATCAGGACACAGCTCCTAGGGGCATCCTGAATTCCTCAGAGAAAAACCAACACAGGGAACTGCTCATTAAAAGAACTCGCAGTACTGCCATATGTATATGCATTTATGTATAAATATATTCTTGGAGGCTGGGAATAGCTATGCAGTCTAACCTGGAATGAAACCTTCCAATTAAACATCGACATCCAGTGCGAAAAAATGACTGAATCACTGAAATTACTAGAGTGGCATCTGTGCAAGTTAATCCAGAGGAAAAATAAGGTCTGTCTGTGCCAAGCAGCCCTAGGGCCTGTATTACAAAGTGAGATTTGTTAGTTAGCTAGATAACTTGTCAGATTTAAGGTACCCCAGTTTAAACGGACTTTGTGCACTTACATTTAGCTCAGACTACCTTAAATCTGACAAGTTACCTTGCTAACCCCAAAATCCAGGGCCCCTGTGCACCAAGCAAAAGTGCCACATGGGCTTAGCTGCATCACAGCTAATTAGTAAGCAGAGTGGGCAGGTCTGGGTCACATGGAGGGCGAGGTGGCCGTGTGCCCACACAGCTCTGCTTCGGCCTGAAGCTTCCCCAGCACAGTGTCTCAGACAAACACCAGCTCAGGCTTCCCACAGGGCAAAGGTCACACGTGTGTTTAATATTAAACACAGAGATGCTAGACTAAAGCCCCCAGATCCTCATGGACAGCACACACAGTGCCGGGAGTTCACGGTTACAGCCAATATGTGTGTGCACCTGCCAGGGCTTCAGCAGCAGGCTGTACCCAGAAGGGACCCCTAGGGGGCAAAGCAGCTGCTCCAGCGAAAGCCTGACAGCAGCTCTCGCCCCTGCAGTCTCCATTTAGGCTGATGAACAAACTGAGGCCGTTTCAGCAGTTACTGGTTCCAGCTGTTACTGCTGGGTCATGAGCTCAGGATGATTGATTTGAAAGGCATCATAACAGACTAAAAGCGGTACATAGTGCTCCATGTCTGCTGCAGACAGATTCTATCAGCAGTGAGCTGGTCTCACTGCCCCCAGGCCTATTGCTCCCAGGTCCACCCCCAGCCCTACTGTCCCCAGGTCCGCCGCCCCCATCCCTGCCATCCACAGGCCCACCCCCAGGTCTGCCCCCAGGTCCACTGACCCTAGGTTTGTGCCCCAAGGCCCGCTGTCCCCGGGACTGCTGCCAGGCCTGCCGCAACCAGGCCCAGCCGCCCCCAGACCCACCACCCCAGGTTCACTGACCCCAGACTTGCCGCCCCCAAGCCCACAGGCCCACTGCCCTCAGGTTCACTGCCCCCAGCCCTGCTGCCCTCAGGTCCACTGACCCTACGCTTACCGCCCCCAGGCCCATAGACTCGCTGCCCCCTGGCCTGTTGCCCCCAGTTCCACTGCTCCAGGCCTGCAGACCCCCTCACCTGCACATCGGGTGCGGCTGACCAGTGGTGGCCCCGGTCGCCCGGTCCCCCCAGGGCCGGGCCGCGTCAGCAGGGCGCTGATATGATATTCGGTGTCTGGCTCCAGGTGCCACACCTTGTAGGTGGCAGTGCTGACACCGTGTATCTCGGCCCAGGCAGAGTGGCCAGTGCGGTACTGCACCTGGCGGCGGATCACTGGGCCATCGCCCAGCATGGCGTCAGTGTTCAGCTGGATGATCAGGTAGGTGGGGCCGGCGCGGAGAAGCTGGGGAGGCTCGGTAGGGGAGGGGGGCACTGGGGAGGACACAAAGGGTGGAGGGGTGTTACATTACTGACACAGATAGACAAACATTCATATCTTTGTGGGGACTATCCATTCATTTCTATGGGCATAACCCTAATTCCAGGAATGACAATCTCAGCTGCTTCCCAGCCCCAGCCTTAACCATAAGTAACCAAACAAATTTTTTTTTTTATTTTTAATAATATTTTATTTTTTTGACTGCAGTCACAGATTTTTATAAAATTGAGTTTCCCCTTGTGGGGCCCGAGAACTGGTCCCCACAATGTCAAAGTAACAGAGTTTTTATCACATTCGGTACTCTCACATGGAAGTTCCAAGTCCTGGCCCCAGTTTACAAGTCCCTGGTCTGTCTTGACCTGAAACTTTAGTAGCTCCTGGCCAGTGTCGTGTATCGCTTTCACATCGCACAACAGAACTAGGAACTAAATAAGCATGGGAGGCGCAAAAAGTACATTGGTTAGACTTCACAAATAATTTGAAACTACCCCCCCCCAAAAAACAATGAAGGATAAATAAGTAGTTTTGTTAGTTATTTATTAGTTATTGGGGGGGATCAGTCTCAATCAAAACAAGACACACACACTCACTTAACAGTTTGTAAAAACAGAAAATGATACTTCCTGTGAAGCCAAGCCATTATATCTGTTGTCTCAGAAACACCACATTCTGCTTCAGTGAAACAAAGATGGCTTCCCATCTTTATTGCCATACTAATTTGGCTTGAATTCTTGTCTTATATTTATCATAATTTGCCCCTGACTGAAAGCTTTTCCAGCTCAAGTTTCGGTGTGTAGCTGTAGCCAAATTCTAGGTCAATCAAATGCTCACAGCCAATAATAGCAGGGCCATATTGTAAACCAGGAGTAGGCAGGATAGGTCCACTGTCAGGACGGCTGCATTCTTGGCTGGCGCACTCTCTGCAAGACGCACCAGCTTCATATGGGAACACGCTTCCGTTTTGGCCCATTTTGTGTCGGAGAGCTCGGCTTGGGAAGCTCCCAATTCTTGATGTCCATAAAATAACAGCATAAACAAATTTGGGAGGGCTCCCGTTAAGACCCACATCATGTTTCAGTTCACGTCAGAGCAGCCGAAGGGAACATGGCAGCCTGCAGGACTGCTTGAGATACAAACGCTCACTGGGAAGCCAGAGCCACATGGCAACAATTAGCATGTTATTGTTCACAGAGACACTGCATCTGCTTGCTGCCTGAATGCAGTGCCAGGGCCCTTCCTGTCAGCATTGTCTCCCATATAAATGTTCACACATACTGCATGTGCTTCTGCCTGAATGCAGTGCTAGGGCCCTTCCTGTCAGTAGTGTCTCCCAGGTTAATGTTTACACACACACTGCATCTGCTGTCTGCCTGAATGCCGTGCCAGGGCCCTTCCTGTCAGCATTGTCTCCCATATAAATGTTCACACACACTGCATGTGCTTCTGCCTGAATGCAGTGCTAGGGCCCTTCCTGTCAGCAGTGTCTCCCAGGTTAATGTTCACATACACACTGCTTTGCTTCCTGTCTGAATGCAGTGCCAGGGCTCTTCCTGTCAGTAATGTCTTCCATGTTAATGTTCACATACACACTGGTTGTGCTTTTTGCCTGAATGCAGTGCCAGGGCCCTTCGTGCCAGCAGTATCTCCCAGGTTAATGTTCACATACACACTGCTTTGCTTCCTATGCCTGAATGCAGTGCCAGGGCTCTTCCTGTCAGTAATGTCTTCCATGTTAATGTTCACATACACACTGGTTGTGCTTCTTGCCTGAATGCAGTGCCAGGGCCCTACCTGTCAGCAGTGTCCTCCAGTTAATGTTCACACACACACACACTGTTAGTGCTTCCTCCCTGAATAAAGTGCCAGGGCCCTTCCTGTCAGCAGTGTCCCCCAGTTAATGTTCACACACACACACACACTGCTTGTGCTTCCTGCCTGAATGCAGTCCCCCAGTTAATGTTCTGCAATTGTTTTCTGCCTAAATGCAATATCAGGGCCCTACCTGTCAGCAGTATCTCCCAGGTTAATGTTCACACACACCGCTTGTGCTTCCTGCCTAAATGCAGTGCCAGGACCTCACTCACTGTACACACTCCACTGGGAATAGGGCCTCACCTTTCACGATGAGCTGGGCAAAATTGGAGACAGCGGCCCCCCGAGCCGAGGGGCTGACGCAGCGATACAGGTGCTGCCCCCCTGCTGCCTGGTCTGCCCCCCCCAGCCAGTCCACCATGAAGATGCCGACAGAGCGCCGGTGGCTCGTCTTCCATACCGAGGAGGCCTGCAGCACTGGCCCACTCTGCTCCTGCAGAGGAGACGCACACTGGTGTAAAATGTCACCCAGGCAGCCCTCTGGGCTCAGCACACGGTTTGTTACCCCATCATGCATGCTGTCAGCACATGCTCAGCTGAGAGACAGAAAGCGAGCAAAAAAAAAGAGGGGGAAAGGGTGCAGAGAGACAGACAGAGGGGGAAGGAGAGAGGGAGCGAGACAGGCTGTTCTGGGACTCAGGGTGTCAGGGTGGGGTCTAAGCATGACAAGGTCTCAGAGGCGGCTGCGGTGGGGCCGTCAGAGGCTGCTTCAGGACTGTCTGTGGCATCAGGGTGGGGGCTCTATGTGTGACAGAGGCATCTTAGATGACCTAGGTGAATGATTGTGAGAGACTGTGAGTGAGTGAGTGAGTGAGTGAGTGAGTGACTGGGAGTGAGTAAAAGAGCGAGTTGGTCACTGTAGGAGTGTGTGAGTGAGAAAATGTGAGTGAGTGAGTAAGTGTGGATCCAAGTGCTCCTAGAAGTCCAAAGAATGTCCAACAAGTACAATGACAATGTACCTGAATAAGTTACTGAGAGAATACATCAGCAAACATGCAACTGCACATGCGTGTCTCTACATCAATGTTCCTGAATGAGGTACTTAGAGAATACTTCAGAAAACATGCCACTTTGTATGCGTCTCTACATCAATGTTCCTGAATGCGTAACTCAGAGAATATGTCAACACACATGCAACTGTGCAGTGCCTTTGGACAAAACAAATCCTGTTACAATATCTAACATGGGACAGTGCCTTTAACCGCACCCAACCCTTAATTTTTTTTTCCAAGTAACATCTTGTCCTGCCTCTAGGCTGACCGTCTCCTGTCCTGTTTAATGCCTTAGACCTTCCTCCACTCTGCACCATCCATCTCAGTCCTGCCAGTATCCACCACTCCCATTTGTATATCACATATCAACTCCCTGCCCGTCTCTCCCATAGGCCACAGCCACTGGATGTCCCCTCACAGTTCCATCACCCACCTCAAGTAGGAGCTGCTCCAGGTCTGAGGCACGGCCTAGCGCTACACACTGGAAGGTGGCATTCTGCCCAGCGTTCACCTCCACGTCACCCAGGCGGGAGAAGTGTGGCACCTTGTCTGGTGTGGAGAAAACATTGACCATCAAAAAACAACTGTGGCCAATCAGTACAGAGACTGCACCGAGCAGAGGACACGGACAGAGAGTCGCAGAGATGGTCACACGTGCATGGGGAGATATTGATGATATCTGTGAGATATTGAGATGGTCACACATGCATGGGGCCTGTCTGTGAGATGTTGAGATGGTCACACATGCATGGGGCCTGTCTGTGAGATATTGAGATGGTCACACATGCATGGGGCCTGTCTGTGAGATGTTGAGATGGTCACACGTGCATGGGGCCTGTCTGTGAGATGTTGAGATGGTCACA